CCCTCCCGCTCTCCCCCCATTACATCCTCCCAGCAGTCAATACTGGACTGTGGCCCCCAGTCACTCACTCTCAGGTTGTTCGTTGTGGCAGAATACCAATGAGCTGGGATTACTCAGACCTTTGTGTCGGCTCTGTGGAAACACCTGGTATTACCAGGCTGCTGTTTGGATTGGCTGGTGCCTGGTGTTACACCTGGTTAGGGTCAGGTCGACCAGATGATCGCTGAGTCCCGTCTCAGGGAACAGGAGTTTAAATGTAGCAGTGGTCGTGACCGCCTCATGTAGACCAGGAGATCCAGGTCTGGGTGAGAAGAACCGGTCAGAACCGGTGTGTTTTAATACCAACGAAGTACTTCACTACACACAGCGAGTATTTGTTATTTATACATAATGTATGCATCAGGTTACACCAACTGTGTTTGAATATACAGTTAATATACCAGAGGCAAAACACTTTTTTAAATACTACTGGAATTAGTATTGCAGTAAAGAAGAGTCGTGAGTACCACCCCCCCCCCCCCCCCCCGCCCCCCCCCCTCCCCTTCTTCTTTAACGACACCTCCGAGCTCAGCCCTGTAAAAGTCAACTTCATGCTACAGCAGACTAAACACCTCTGGCACCAAATAAACAGGACAAGGTCACTCTGCTGTTTTACATGTTAGGAAATATATATACCTCTATTATTGGACGTATCCTGGGCCAGGAAATAAATCCCAGTGACCTCGGCTTCCAAACATGAGTACACAACACAAGTTCCACTGATTTTTTTGTTTTTTACAGAACTGTTTTTTTTTTCAAGGTGCACTTAACTGTTCTGTTCATGTCATTAACAGTTACTGGTCCCCTGTTGACTCATTACGTGAACGGTCTACACACACACACACACACACATGCATATATGTGTGTGTGTAAACATACTTCACATATATAGATATATACATGTATATGTGTGTGTATATAAATATATACATATATGCATACATATGTACATACTCTACATACCTATATACATACATACAGTATATACATATATACATATATACATACATGTACACATATACAGTATGTACATACTGTACATACCTATATACATACATAGATACAGTATATACATATATACATACATACATACATACATATATACATACATACACATGCATATGTATGTGTGTGTATCTAATCGTGAAGGTCAAACATCGGTACCATTTCTGTTAGCAGAGAAGGCGGAGCGTCGGCCCCCCAACCTCGCCCATGTTACAGTAAATAAAAGCCGTCTTTTCTCGTGAGTCCGCAGCAGGGTTATTAAAGTGCCTACCTGTGTTAGGATGATAGATCCTTCCTAAACTCTGGACCCCAGCAAGCCCGTGGTACCGATAGACGCGGAACATAAAGGGATTACATTTGTAGACAGCAATGAAATCAGGCTGCACCCCAGTGACTGGGTCTCTGTTTTAGACCGAAGTCTAGTAAAGGGAACGCAGTTCCAACAATTAGATCACAGCCTGACAGAGAACAGGAAGTAGTCATGAATCACATCGAAATCAAACCACCACGAACCCGGAGAAAGTCCAAACGAAATGACTTTGACCTTCCTGGAAGACATTTCCAGCAGAATTTAAAATTTCATTTCATTTTTCAACTCGTTCTTAGTGTTTATTCATCACAGGTGAAGTGGGCCGCGTACACACGCCGACACAGCGCCACCTGGTAACACCACCTCCACACTGCATGACTCTGGAGAACGTTTGAATGTGGAGAAGAGCCACGAGGAGAGAAAAGAAAAAGTGATCTAACTTTTTGTTTTGTTTTTTCTTCATGTCATCTATTTAACAGTTGGCCTCCAGGGGTCAACATAGCCAACCATTTCAGCTAATTCGTCCAATAAGTGCAGCTCATGGCAATAATATCTGTTCATGTTTGCTGGTAATTAAAGGAAAACAATAACACCACTACTCTCCCCAGACATAAACACAGGTTCCTCAGCAGCCACACCTGGTGGTCAGTGCTCTTACTGATGAAACAAAGAAGAGAGAAAACAAAGGGGTTTCAGTCTCAGAATTGTAAACTGTAGAATTCCGGAGGATGACCTTTGACACCAGACCACAACCTGCGTCTTTGGTCTGGACTGAAATCCAAATTTTTAAACTGTTTTTCGGTTTTTCCATTGGGAAGAAAATCGGCTACAAAACAAAACCAATAAAATAGGGTTTTTTTTTTAGGTTTGAAAAAACTGATGTCAAAACTGTGTCAGTGCACCAGTAAAAAAAAACTGTAAAAAAAACAGTAAAAATCTTTATCGAGGTTCAAATCAATAAAATATCCAATACCGTGGTGACGTACAGAACCAGAACCTGCCTCTGTCTTCCAGGTCCATCCATGAGTCCTTGCCAATGTCTCTGCAGACGTTAGCGACAGCTCTGTGGACGGCAGAGGTGATAATGGATGGTTCTAATGGTCAAGCCTGCACCACACATTAGGAATCTGGTCGATTCCCAGGAAGTGCTGCCAGCGATCAATGCAAGGCTAATGTGTGAAAAGGAGTAAGTTAAATGTCAGTGTTTCCAATCAATGACTATTCATTTTCAGCAGCCACATTTCCACAAAGAGGACACTTAATATTGTGTGATTGGATAATTACTATGCCCAATTAAAGGATGTGTGACACCAAGCAATGGATAGTGGATGGTAAACATATGCCACAACAGGCTAATGGAGACAGCGCCAGCCTCTGATCGACAGCTGGGAGATGGATCTGGGTGTCTGTGGGATGGCAGCTGAACCAGGAGTCAGATAATCCTCCCTGGCTCCACAGCACTGGGGATAATGGATGTCTGTCCTCGCAGGGACCCACTGCTCCAAAGGCAGAGCAACACTTTAGAACACGTTCTTCTGCTGATTGAAAATTAAGAACAAAAAAACAAACCAAAAATGTCGGTCTTCCCAGGGACATGGTGGCAGTTTGGAGTACTGCGCTCTATTGTAACAGAGTCTGGTCTGGAGCCAACACAAACTGGGACCAAAGCAACAGAAGGTCAGAACCGATTATCTAGTGGTGAGACAGAGAGGGAACTCAACCTCTGTCTCTCCACAGAGAACGTCGACAACATTTGATC